CCGCCGCCGCCGCCGCCGCCGCCACAGCGGCCGCCGCCGCCAGGGCGCCAGCGCTGCTTTGTTTACCACCTGTCGGAAGGAGAAGGCGACGAGCAGACAGGCGGGGCCCGGTGGCAGGGACAGACGCGCCCTCTCCCGCCTCCCCTTCCGTACCTCCTCTGCGCAGGCGGGGGTCCGCGGCGCCCCCCGCGCGCCGCTCCATGACCAGTGTGGACGCGAGGCCTCCAGCGACGCCTGTGCAGCGCCCGGGCGCACTCACCTGGCGGCCCGCCCGGGGCTGAACGCCGCTGAGGCTGACCAGCCAGTGCTGGGCGCCTGACCCGCGCGGCCGCGCCGTGACCTACCTGGTGGCCCGAGGAGGCCTGGCCCTGGGAGCCAGCACGAGCGCCTGGCCTCGCAGGGCCTTGGGCGCTGCTCCTGTTACCCCGATGCCGGGCTGGGCTCCCCGTTCCACCCAATGCGTGTTGATGTCCTTACTGCACGTGCAAGAAGGGCAGGTCAGAAGGGCAGGTCGAGGCCCAAGGGGTGTGAAAACTAAAATTGGGGGGGCACACAGAGGAGCCCAACTTTACCAGGGAGTCCTGCTGCTTCCAGCAGAGCTTCCCACATAGTGGCCACAGGAAGTTGGCAGTCATTGTTTGTCTAAGCCAGGCCCTACCGGTGAACTGGAAGGTGATGGTGGTGCTGGGGAGGGACAGCCCTTGGAAACTTTGAGGCCACGGGAGGGTTTGGGGCCCTGAGCATTACAGAGCTGGGATGCTCACAAAGCAGGGAAGGGCATGTCCCCTGGAGAGTGGAGGGGCTGTAGGTGTCTGAACTTGAGGAGGCCTTGGAGGCTTTTGAAAGGGTGAGAGGGGGTGCCAGCCATTGAGGGGGGAGAAATGAGGCCCCTCCCAGGTGTGAAAATGAGGGGAGTGCCTGGTGCTATAGGCCCTGAGAGGGGACAGTGCTGCTATAGTTGAAGGAGAGAAGGCGAGCAGTTTGAGGTGGCCTGTGACCGCCACTCCGCTACTCCTAGAAGAAGAAACAGAGTCTGAGGGTCTCAGGCTCCTGCCCAGGGCCGGAAAGCCAGCTGAGAGCAGTGTGGGTCTCAGCTACCACCCCACCACCCACCACTCTCTTGGTCCTTGGACTGTGACTGTTTCAGTAGGGGCTCTGGAGGCACAGTGACCACATCACCCCTGCTTTCGCTCCTCTATGACCCACCCCAGTCCCTCCCACCTGTAACCTGGTCTTTACTGATGGGGGACACACTGCTGTGGTCAATTATTGTTGAGCCTTCAAGCACTACACATAGGGCAGCTTCCAGTCTGTGGCTTGGGCTCCAGAACTAGGGATGGTATAGAATAGTGCCTTCAGAGTGGGGCATATAAGCTTGAAGATGTGCAGATTTAACAGTGGCTGGGTCTCACATATCAGAGAATCTCAAGGTCAGGATGGGTATGATAGGAGAGGATGCTTCTAATCACCAGGCAGCCTTGAATGTTCAGAAATGGGCCAGGAAGTTTGCCAACTAGATGGAAGGACAGGACTCATTGACCTGAAGTAGAATTGATTCTAGATTGGGAGATGCTCAAACGGGGGCAGGGTGGGGCTGACAGATTTGGTTGTCTAAAGATGGTCGGTCTCTGGCTAAATTGTGAAGTGGTTGTGAACTATGGGTATGGATTTGCTGAGCACTGATGCTAGTAGAACCTGAAATCTCAGGGACAGGAGCAAAGATTGAGGTTGGGGGAACTGTGCTCAGGTCACTGAGGCAGCTGTCAGGGTCGGGGCCCACACAGAAACAAACAGGATGGAACTGACGCAGGGAATTCTGGGTATTTGCCACTGGTGAACTAATCATGAGAGACAAGGTCTGGGGTTAGGAAAGCAAGGTTTACTAGGAAAACCAGTAAGCTGAGGAGACGGGGACTCCAGTCTCAAGCCATTTCAATTTCTTGGTGGCTGGGGGGAAGGGCTGGAGTTTTCATAATAGAGTGCAGGAAAGGAGGAGATGAGCTTGCTGTTGATCGTCATGACTCTGCTGTCCTGTGGTCACCACACGACTTTTCCTGCCTCTGTCTTGGCCATTGTGTGGGTGCTGTCCAGGTAGAATGAGCACCCAGGGGTGTCATGATTTCATGATGGCTCATATCTTTTCAATCTATCTGTCAACAGAAACATCTTTAAAAAGGGGGTGAAGTTGGTGCTGGGAGGTTGTTTGCGGCCGTTTTAGGGGCGTTAATAAACGAGCCATTGTAGACATGCAACTGCACTCTGAAGGGTACAACATTGGCTAGTTCAGGCCTTGTATTTTGCTTTCAGAACCCTAGCTTAGTGCTTCATTCTCAGGCTCAGTGTAACCCCCCTCCCACCATGGAAGCCACAGAGATGAAGTGTGCCATAGTAATATTGCCAAAGGGTTAGTAATAAAGCTTCAGCTGTTTTGCCTTGTCAGGCTATTTGGTAGAAGTCATGACACTTTGTAAAAAAAATATTTATTTATTTATGCATGCAGAAATGCGGTACAGGCCAGAGGTGCAGGGGCGGTGAGAGGATTCACCACAGACAGAGTGGGGAGCAGAACAGGCAAATTGACAAAGTACACTGCTGAGGGGAGTAATGAGAGAGTCAGGAGAGGTCTGCCGCGCCATGTGGGTCACCTCTGGTGTGGTGACTGAACTTTCACTGAAGCGGCAATGGCTTGGCTTGGCTTAGCTTTGCAGAGCAGTGCTCCAACCCGCTGAGGGCCCCTGACACTTAACTTACAATCAGACTGAGCATGACCAAACCCACTTAGTCCTGCTCCATGTGAATTTAAGCAATTCCGTCTCATCTCATTCATTCATGAATATAGCTTAATGCCCCTTGCAGCCCAGCCTCATTCAGGATAGGTTTTATTTTATTTGAAGATTTATTTATTTATGCATACAAGAACTGGGGTACAGGCCAGTGGTATAGGGGTGAGAGGATTCATCAGAAACAGAGTGGGGAACAGAGCAAGCAGATTAACTGAAATACACTGCTGAGGGGAGCAGCAGTCTGGACTGGAGAGGTCAGCCACAGCATGTGGGTCAGCTGCCTAGCCAGAGATCGAACTTGGAGCTGCAGTGGCTGTGGAGAGCTTCACAGTACATTGCTTTAACCCACTGCACCACCAGAAAGGGCCCAGAATAGGTTTGGAACTGTAACTACCTCCTTTAAGTCTATCACTACAATCAAGAGAGTGAACATAATTTACATTGCTGAAGTTTTCTCTTGCTTCTCTGTCATGAAGTTTTCTATTGCCTCTCTTGCCTTTCTGTAACAGAAAACAAACAGGATGGAACTGACACAGGGAATGCTGGGATACTTGCTCCTTCCTAGTTCCTGACACTCTCCCCAGCCTCCACCTGCAACCACTGATCTACTTCTGTCACTGTACATTAGTTTGCATTTTCCTAGGTTTTTATATAAAGGGGTCATCCAGTATGTACTTCTTTTTGGAAGTTGGTCGACTTCTTTCACATAGCACAATTATTTTGAAATCAATCCAAAGTTTTCATTTTGCCACCCC